CACAGATTAGATTAATGAGATATGGCAAAACCACGATTACGCAGTTATTATTTCATTTAAAGTGACGTTTTGCTACAGGACAGGTATGTGTGAAACGTATTCCATTTTTTATGCAAGGTTCAAGGAGTGTGCTATTAAAAATTTAGTATAATAGAGTCGCATTACTTTTAATTTAGAAACAAACTTGTATTTACACAATATGTTCTATGAAATAAAATAATTTGTAAAATCGTGACGTGAATTTAACTGTAAAACAATGCGTATAACTCTGATAGGCTAAAAATATGTTGAAATGATCAGCAATCCGAACTATTTTTTTTTACAAAACCAAGTGACGGAACGAACAACTGGTGCACCTGATGGTAAGCGACCGCTGAGAGCTTTCAAATCGCAAATATCTGAGGGGCACTGCCACTGCGCCCGTCACCCTGAGACATAAGTTGACAAGTCCCATGAGCCTGTAATTTCACCAGCACCCTTACCCTTCAAACCGGAACGCAGTAATGCTCGCATTAGTGCTTGAAGGCAGAAATAGGTAAAGTAACAGTACTTCCTGACCGAACTCTTGCACAAGGAGCTCCACTGCTAATAAACTGTAAGCGCCATATCAATGCATAAAATAAGAAATATGAACGCGATGTGCAAATATTAATTCTTAGGTTTTCGTGATTGTTACACAAAGGAAATAAAACTATTTTTCGGAGCTATAAGTAAAGTTTATTATGCGATTATTTACAAGATCTCACATCCAGGGATCTACGTTACAATCTGTAGTTGCCATTGCTAGTTCACTTTATGCCTCTAGGAATAGATGTAGCTTTCGTCCAATTTAATTTACAAGAAATATGTTAATATACTTTGTTCCAAAGGGTTTTCCGAAGGAACTCTAGATTAAATTAGATCCTTTGCGACTACCGTTTCGACGAGTGAAACTCAAATAATCTTTATATCACAGGTAAGCAAATTACACTTGAAATCATCAAATTGATTAAATTCTACTGCTCATTCGTTAGGCAGATTCCATTGAGGAGAATGAGCTAGAAACTTTAGGGGTTGCTCTTTGTAAATAAATTTTGAATATCAAGTCACAGGATACGGTCGTTACGTGTATCATCCATCATTAACAATCTTCGTAGTCGCATGCAAGTATGCTCGGAATCGAGCAACAGTGGCCAGTATTTTAGTAAGTCTGCCGATGAACGTTCCTGTTCTCTTCCGCTTATGTTTACGGACGCAAACTTCTGATCGTTTACGGAGTTAATTAATTACATGAACGATTACGTGAGAATTCGCCCCATGGGAATCCGTAATGCACGATGTGACGTTTTCAAGTGCTATAAGTCATCACATGGACGCCAACGCCTTCAAGACGCAGTTCTAATATTCATTTATTTATACAACTTCGATACAAACAGAAAACTTACACTGTTTTGTCATATACATTTTTATACTGTATGTTGTTATACTATTACTGGCGTATAATAGTAATTATGCAAGAAAAAATGAAAAAATAATATAACAGAAAATAGAAAATGAAAATAATATAAGAGAAAAAAACAAAAACTACTATCTAAAGGGTTACAATTAGTACTATATAATTATTTAACAAAACTCCTAAGACTTCCCCTTAAGGGCAGTTACGAGCCACATTCGTCTTTAATATGATAACTGCTCTATATTATTGAAAGTTCTCATGCCTCAATAAATTGGACAAAATTAGATATACGAGATACTAGAGCCGAAAATATATTTCGCGCGAGATAATGGGGAAGCCTTTTGGGTATCGCCAAATTAACCTGAGACATTATTCGGGGCGTGTGTAGCTGACTATGCGGAACCTTACAGAGAAAAGCTACTCGAAAATTTGCCTCTGAGTCTCCAAAGTCTCTAACTTGAAATGTAACAGACGCTCGTCGTAGTCTGCTCTATACGGGCATTACTTTATCTTTAGAAAGATTAATTTTCAGTTCGAAATCATTATACGAAAAACTACGTTACAATTTCCCGTTTAAACATACAAAATATTACGCGCGCCGTGTTAGTTTTAATTGGTTAAAAAGCAAATTGCGTAAATATTTAATTTGGTTTCATTAAGTACTATTTCATTACGGTTTTTAAACAGTCTTGTAGCCGGTTCAGATGACAAGTTAGAAGCGCTATGCTAACGCATCTTTAGAACTACATTAATTTTAGGGAACTACCACACTTATTCACGCGGAGTCGGCTTGCGGCTGGCGATCAGCAAAAACTTTATGTCCATGTGGTAAGAGCGAAAAACTAAGGTATTAAATTTTTACTTTGCCTGAACTATTTTTTATTAACTCTTTATTTATTTAGGGCGTCAATCATTCTTGACCACGTCAGCCGCGTCAGAAAAACAATACATAAAAAAAACACTCTTAATCCAGACAGATAAATAAAAAAACACTACCTAACCAAACATGTATACAAAATCTTCGTGGCACTACGCGTTGGCTCCAAGAAAAGTATTTAACAATACTGAAAAGTATTTAACAAACATGAACAGAAAAGTAACAAGTGTGGCGTTGACAAAATAGATACCTAATAGCGCGATGGAAAATCCAACTAATGCCATCTAGTGGCAACCGTACCACATTTAAGTCTCTAATTATATTTAAAAAATAAATAATAAATATTAGACGACATCATATACGTTGCTATGATCCCAAAGTAAGTAACTAAAGCTTGTGTTATCGAAATCGGAAACAACGACGTTACCTATCACAGACACCCAGACTCGATTGATCGAATCCGGGACCTCGGAGATGACGACACCATGAAAAAGGTGCGCAAGCCACTCCACACCACGCCACACCACATAGGTTGTCGATTGAACATTGAACAGTATGAAGAAGAAAATGCAAAACTATTAAAAAAAATGTTTTTAAACAAAACTGCTATCGGTAAAATAATGAACGTCTTAGCTGGCATCAAACTACCGTTGTAAAATAACTGGGTTCATCGGGCTGTTGGGTTTATTAAGTTTACAAATTCTACCAGCTTGCTCTATGCACATTGCAAACTACTGCCTTAGACTTCGACTTCGTGAAACTTGCACAACGGTGCATACTGAGTGCTATTTACCAATTATATTTTCATATGCGTTTCTCTCAGAAATTAGACAAATTTAACAATATCATTTGAAAAATTGTTTGTGTTTTATGATTTTTCAGGAAATAGTGTGCACAAATATAAAAAACGCCTTGTAAGTGAATTCAAGTTACACTTTCAAATGGTTTTACGGCGATGTTCAGCCCCCATCGAACCTAAAATTGCGATGATTTTCGTCAAATATACAGATATTGTTGATTAAGGTCAAACAATCAAAGAATCATTTATTTATTCCATAGGTAAAATTAATTTACACTTGTAAACGTCACATTTAAGCTACTGCTCGTTCACTACGCTGACCTCCTTGAGAAGAACGAGCAAGAAACTCTAGGGATTGCTGATTTTCAAATAAACTTAAATGCACAATACACTTTGAATCAAATTTGTGTGAAATCTGGAGCTATGTCGTCTTTCCATACATCTTTATCTAACACGTAGTCTTCAATTTTGTAATATGACTTTTCAATCAAAATATTTTTAATGTAGTTTTTAAACTTAGGAAATGATAATCTTAATATATGCTCCGGAATCTTATTGTAAAAACGTATATAGTTCCCCATAAAAGAGTCGTTTAACTTGGTTAAACGAAATCGAGGTATCATGAGTTTGGACTTAGATTTAGGGTTAATATTATGAATAACTTCTTTCTTATTGAAATTATGTATATTTTTACGGGCATATAAAATATTTGAGTAAATGTACATAGTCAGGTCCTACTTATTGTTTAATACAAATGTTCGCTAGTGAATCTGAACAAATAAATTATTTTGACGTTGACCGTATAGACGACCTATGCTTATTATTCTTATTATAGTCTAAGTTATTATTATATAAAAATCATTGACATATTAATAGAATAGAATACGTTTATTTTGAAGAAGTAATATTAGTTACATTGTATTCAACCTGCAAGCAGATGTGCAAATATTAATGGAATTTAATGTTTGGTCTCTATAGTTTCAAATTAATGTACAATGGAATTTGTTAATTCTAAGTATTATTTATTACTATAGAAGCAATGTGTCAAAAGCCAGTTTGTCAATTGTAATTTAAAAGTATGTCCTTGTAATACTTTAATTACATTTAGTAATGTGTTGAAGATAATTAAACACGTATTGAAGCAGTTATGCTTAATTTATAAAATTACTTTATGGCAACGGGAGGTTGATATATTCATAATGTTTGCTCTAATTTGCACTTGAATGACTTCACCACGTGTTTTAAAATATTGAGGATGAGAATTGACAATTACGTAGATATCCCTAATGTAGATGCACGGCCAAGGCAACATGTTTAGCTTTTTGAACAACGGTTTGCAGCTATCTTCGAAACACGTACCGCAAATAATCCGACAAAGCTCTTTCTGAGGTTACGGAGTTGCCCCATAGTACAAAACCGTAGTTGAGCACGAACGTACGTAACGTAGCCGTGATAGGCCGTCAACCCAGCGTTTCGAGTGTCTTAGTATTCGTAGAGTGTCAACAAATCTGTTCAGCTTCATGTAAATCTGCTCGAAGTGTTAAGATTCTTGTCGATTGTTAACCGAAGAAAGTTAAATGTGTCAACTTCGCCTACAGTATCAGCGTTGTAATTAATTTTAACCGGTATGGAATTTGAGTTATAAGATCTAAATGTCATAACTTTAGTTTTGACTTTATTTATATTAATATTTAAAAGATCGATGTCCATCCAACTTATTATGTCTCTCAGTGCTTTATTTATGTCGGTTTTAAACGTCACTTTATTTTGGCATTTCATTAGAAAAGTTGTATCGGTAGCAAATTATATACAATTATGATCGTGGGAGATCGCTAATGTAAAACAGAAACAGCATTACAGAGTGATTGATTATATTATTATATTACAGAATGGCAGACGGCTTCCTAGCACCGAAGGCAGGGTTCGCGACGAAGGCGATCCATGCAGGTCATAACCCGAGCAAGTGGTATTCTTCCCCGGCGGTCGTACCCATCGTCACCTCTACCACATATAAGCAGCGAGGTCCCAATGATAATGACGTCAGTATCTACACATTGCATGTTATGTACCTCCAATAAAATATTCTTTGTTGTTCTTTCCTTTTCTCTTTCAACTTTTTGGTATCGGAAGTTCCGAATTCCACATTGGGCCAGTTTCATGGATTATGGCCCAAATTCAGATTAGTCTTACATATACGAGTTAATCTTACTTCAAGATAAATCTGTACTTAAAGATGGAACATGCAAATGTATGACTTATTATTTCTAGGGTTTCGTGTACGGCAGATCGGCGAACCCAACACGCAACTCGCTGCAGGACGCGCTGGCAGCTCTGGATGGTGGCAAACACGCATTGGCCTTTCCTTCGGGGCTCGGCGCCACTACTGTGCTCGTTTCTCTGCTCAAGCACGGAGACCATATTCTGTCCTGCGATGACTTGTATGGAGGCACTAATAGACTACTCAGGTTCGGTCTTTCTTATACTAACAATAGGTTTTCTCTAGATATCCAAGTAGCGTCCATTGTCTATTTTTAAACGAAGCGATATCTATCGTTTCGATAACGTTGTACATTAGGTTTTATTGTGGTTTAGCTGGGCTCTTCAAGACAGCATGAAATAAACATTGTGTTCGGAATACAAACGTTAAACACGTATCCGACCGACATATTTCAGAAACTTGTGCGCAAAAATGGACATCGAGCTCACATTCGCTGACTTCACAAACATTGACAACGTGAAAAATGGAATTAAAAACAACACGAGGGTAAGTACGCTTTTTAAAATGCGAATGATTAGCGCATATTTCTTATTGTAAATCATACGTTTGATTTCAAGTTGAAGCATTAAAATCAATAGTTAAGTGAAAACTAAAACTAAACTATCTATCTGTATTAATCGGAAATGAAACAATATTTTCGAATCTAAACCGCGTAGGTATATTTGTTTTTTTCAGACAAACCAACGTTTTGGGCTCTTTAGATGGTCACGACTGACTGAGATAGGATTGGTCATCAAACATTTATCTAACTTCACAGATAATACAATAAAATATTATACTAGTACAGATACCCCATCTCGTACAAAGTAACGTCCGCACTCGTAACTCCGCTTATTCGGATGCTTATTTTGATTCTTAATACTAATCGATAGATTGTACCCAGTAAACACGCGATGCTATTGTATAGTATTCGAAAATGTCACCAGATGAACGTATAGTAAAATTGCAAAGAAACCGAGTCTGTAATATTTTAAAGTAAAAGTAATTTCTAAAATGTTAGTTATTTTCGAGAATAAATTCAAAGAACTGTAGTCTATACAATTTCATGCAAGCTAACAAATCAAAAAGAATTGAGACACTTTCGATTTATTAACTTTTCAACGAGGTAATGTTTTCATTAATTATCATTATATAATTGGAAATGAATTTTAATTAGGCATTTCTAAAATGTTGTTTAAATAGTTTTGCATTTATTTTTATATTTCATACTTGTTTTTCTTTTTCTTATGTCATGCCTCAAATTGTCTAGATATAATATATCCTTATTTTTTATTTTATCCAATTGTCCCCATGTACAATTTATATATACACTAAAGTTAATTTATTTGATTTATTAAAAAAATAGTTTCATTTCCAATATCCAGCAAACGGGAACCTAAGAATTCAATATGTCTTCGAGTATCCCCTGAAGAAAAGTAAAAGTTTTAAAAAAGTTTTCCCCTGAGGAAAAGTATACATTATAGTTTACTATGCTGGCCTGATACAGTTTGGGGACTATGTAAGTCTGCGAGGAGGTTTACAAATAGGATGTTCGCCTTCACTACCTTCTAAAGCAAGAAATTGTAGGGAAACTGAATAATATTTCAATTTACTTAACAGTTAAGGGTCAGTAAATCATGCGTGACCTCAATTGCGTACAGTGTATATTGCTCAACAATTTGTACATAAGTTTATTAAATGTCCAGCGTCTTCACAAGTATGATTCCATTTTTCCGTCATGCATCTTAAGTAACCGCGGTAGTTACGAGATAATTGAAGATCCAAACTGAACATGGCTTGAAACACACAGTGGTGTAAGCCCTGTAATTAAACAAGGAAACAAAAGTGACAGAAACATCTCTTTCAGATGATATGGCTCGAAAGTCCGACCAACCCATCCTTTAAAGTGATCGATATAGCAGCGGTAAAAAATGTCGCTAACACTCACAAAGACATAATTGTGATCGTGGATAACACCTTCCTGACCCCTTATCTGCAGCGGCCGTTAGATTTCGGCGCAGACGTAGTAGTATACTCGCTGACCAAGTACATGAACGGACATACTGACATCATCATGGGTGCCGCTGTTGTTAATGACGACGAATTGGCTGAGAAATTGAAGTTCTTGCGGAATGGTTTGCAAAATTTTTGACTTTAGTCGTTTAATCTTGATTTATTGCATTATTGTTCCTTAAATAATTTTAGTATTAAAAATATTTTTTTTTATAATACCAATTGGCGAGAGGAACAAGTCGTGCGTCTGGTGGTAAGCGATATGTCTATTCATAACAGTTGCAGTGCCATTCAGAGGTTTAAATCGCAAATATCTTATGTGCACTGCCACTGCACCCGTCACCTTGAGACATAAGTTGACAAGTCCCATGTGCTTGTAATTTCACCAGCGCTCTTACTCTTCAAAATTGGAACGCAGTAACGTTCACATTACTGCTTGGCGGCAGAATCACGCAAGTTGGCAGTACTTCCCTGGACGAACTCTTTCACAAGGAGCTCTACTGCTACTTAATTTTTTTTCTGGATTTTTAAAATATATTTTAAGACATATTCAACTAAATAAATGCAAGTTATGTGATGTATGCCTGAAACAATTTTTCACGCTTTTCAGGCGTATCTAGGTTAATTTATTAAATTTGACCAACTTTTGCTGTCCTTATTTTTTTCTTCCGATACAATGAAGTCATCCTTAAAATTGTATTCATTGTGTATGAAAAAATTTTTACGAAATTTGACCAAATTCTGCTGACCCGATTTTTTTCGTCCCATACAATGGAATAATCCCTTCATGAAACTGAGTCTTAAAAATATTTTGATCAACTATTTTGTTTAACTATTTTGTTCATTTTTATGGACAACTCACACTTGACCAAAAAATTGACTATGCCAAAATTGTTTTCACAAAAAAGATTTGTATCTTTTAAAGGTTTTGGATTTCCTCTTACTAGCCCATTAAAAAAAAATCACTCTGTACAATGCCTTTACAATACATTAAGGCAAACAAGATTCAAACAAAAACAGATCGTTCCGTTCAATTCAAAAGACACTCATTCCTATCCCGAGGCTAAAATGGATCGGTCAAATTGAGTTTTCGTCCCTAAAGTTCAAATTGCCACTTTGTATGATATTTCTTCTTTCTTCAGTGTTTCATCATGTTTGTTTTATTTACGTAATAGTCTAAAAAAGCTACTGTAGAGACATTTGAAGGCCGTTACCGACAAGAGCAAAGCTCTTAAATTCTTTAGCAACTATGAATATTGAGAGAGAATGCAGGGCGCTGGCGGTCAGATATAATATGATTGCCGCCGTAGTTAACAAGTAAGAATCTTGCTTCTTAAAATATATGTCCAAGTTTTCTATATGTGCAGTCTTTGGACCAATTATACGTTTAAAACCACTAGTGCCCTGCGAGTACAATGCAACAATGGCCTTCGGATGTTGTTGAGGCTGCCACGGTTCTGCAGCGCATCTAGCATTATTGCACAGACGCGTACTGGTCCCTTCTATGCCATTATGCGGAACAAGTCAGCCTCACTGCTCTGCAGACCGCTTGCCAGCTCCAATCCTACACTGGAAACCATTGCCAGCAGAGTGAACTCTCCATTTCTTTTTAATCTTTTTTTAGCCTGTCTGCTTTTGTGTTATCTGTTTTAATTTTATAATGTAAATTTGTAGTGTTTTGTATGTGTGAGTATATGTAAGACATTTATTGCAATCATGTGATTATTATATATGAAGATTATATCATATTTAAAATGTTTCACTACCTAAACACGAACCCTGGTAAGGTACCGCAACATGACAAACATTTCTTTATCATTATTTATTCAAAATTGGTGTTCATGTGTAATATTAAATACACTCAAAGTAAACACATGCGTCACATTACATTATCATTCGCAGTATTAATTATTTTCATCAATTGAAGAAGAAAGGAGATCAGAACTAGGCTGTATATGAGTTGACAATACTTTATTGATTTACAGCTTTGGGAGTGGTCCCTTCTCCATACGACTGCTACATGGTCAACCGAAGCTTAAAAACATTGGCTCTTAGAATGGAACAGCATAAGAAATCGTCGCTGGCCATCGCTAAGTGGCTCCAGAAACATCCCAATGTAACTGAAGTTTTACATCCGGGTAAGGATAATACCTATCTTTAGTGAAAGATTGTCCTGTTGAAATCAAGGCTACAATCGATCTGATTTTAAAACTTATGCATAATATATATTGTACCTTTTATAATTAACTATGTATATTTATATTAATATAAATTCAGACGATGATTCGTGGTAATTGTTTGCTTTTGAAAGCCTTCTAAAAACGCACGTTTTACTTAATTATTTTCAAATTAGGGGGACAGGAAAGATAGATATCTTTCTATTCCCTTTTATTTTTCTCCATGCTGATTACTTACTTTATTTTCTTTTATTACTTACTAAAATGTGCATTATTTTTCTCTAACCTGATTGGTACTGAATGGTTTGTTATTGAATGGTTTGACCCATCGCCTCTCGAGCAGAATGTTATTGGTTCGAATCCGGTCTCGCATCTCTAAGGTTTTCGGAATTTATGTGCGTATGTGAAAATTTAATTTGAAATTTACTCGTACCATAGCTTTTGGTGGAGGAAAACATCATGTTGAAACTGACGGACTATACGGCTTCAACACTCGCCTGAGAGGAGGTCCTTGCCCATCAGTGGAACATATACTGGGGTTCATATTGATCGATTGTTGATTGTTACTCGGTTGATTGACTGATTAAAAATATCTTGATATGTTTTTAAGTATATAATGTTCGAACTTCATTTATGAAACGCTAATCTCCCGGTTAGGTTAATGTCTCAATTTGGCCAAACATAATCATAAATATACCGTTTCGTAATCTTAGAATCATAATCGCAGCAATGAAAGTAAATGCGTGCTATTCGGGCCATAAGTGTCGCGACAACATCACGACAATAAAATGTTATAAAACATTCTGCTTAACAATTTTCAGATTTAAAATATGGGACAATTTTTTATCGTATGACATAATAAATGTGTAAGCCAATGACTCAGGGGATTATTTGTAATACAATTTGTTTCAATTCTGTGGGTAGCACTCGGAACGCCTAAAAAGCAATTTCAAACCGAACCCGGACCTCCTCATCCAGCACCGAGATTGTTAGCTTAACTTAAATCTGAACTGTCAAAACGTATCCATTTTCGACGTCGATTCCCTCAAGGTGTGTGCGATTGGCTAATCACACATATCATCTTTAAAATGAATTATCTATTTTCAACTTATTCATCAACTCACTGTGCCTTGTGTTGACTGCCATACTTTGGTAATGCTAAATAAACAATAAATAGGAGTCTCCCTAGGCTCGCTACTAAGCCCAATGTTAACCCGTTGCTTATAATTTTCTCGACCAGGGCTCCCCACCCACCCGCAATATGCCTTGACGCAGAAGCAAACAAGTGGTCACTCCGGCGTATTCAGCTTCAAGCACTCCGGTGGGCTGAAGGAGTCAAGACAGCTACTGCAGAAGTTCAAACTGTTCCTACTCGCTGAGAGTCTAGGAGGATGTGAAAGCTTGGCTTCACTACCGTGAGTAGACATTTTATATAACAATATTTTTTATTTGGAGATGTAGCTGGTAGACGTAATTGGAAGATTGTTTTTAAATAAATATGAAATTAAAATAGGCAATGGCCAATGAATATCTTCTTTTTCCAGTTGACCAGTGTCCGGTAATTGATATGGTACAATGACAGATACACGAGTCACACTTACTCGAAATAACATTTCGCACCCCTCATGGAACAATGGCATAAGTGGAATTACCTCAAACATATTTATTGTTCCATTAGATACAGAAAAATATAACCCACATCCTCTCAAATTGGAGATTAGATACAGAAAAATATAACCTGCATCCTCTCTCCAATTGGAGAGGATATAGGTTATATTTGTCTGTATCTAATGGAGCAATAAACATGTTTGACGTAATTTCTCTTATGCCATTCTTCCATGAGGGGTGCTATTTGCCGATTTCCGTGGTTTCCACATGGGTTTCATGGCATCGCCATCTCTGAGGGTTCGATTCCCTGGCAGGTCAATGTATGAAACTAACTTTTCTAATTGTCTCGGGTCTAGGTGTTTGTGTTACCGTCGTTGTTTCCGATTTCCATGACACAAGTGCTTTTGCTACTTACTTTGGGATCAGAGCGTATGTGATGTTGTTTAATATTTATTTACTTATGACATATTTTATTTATTTCATAGATTTCTCACAGATAGCAAAAAATCCGTTAAAAACCAAAAATAAAGATACATAGAAAAATTCGTAAGTTTTGCTGGTTCGTTCCGTAGCGCAGTCGGGAGAGCATCAACCACGGTGTACTAAAGGCGCTGGTTCAAATCCAGCCGGATCGAAGGAATTTTTCTTCTCGTGTTCGATCTTTGTATTAACAATAACAAACTAGTGGAGTAATTTCACAAATAATAATTGAATGTCATGGTTTGAAAACATTATGAGTAAACATTGTGATATTGAATAAACTCAATGTAACATTTATTTAACATTACAAACTAGACAAAAAAAAACATATAGTTGACTTGAAAGCGCAGTTACATAAATAATATTGAAACGCGGGAGAAAACTCTTAAAATTGTTTTAACTTCGTGAAAATATATCAAAACCAGAACAGATATCAATGTAATAGCGGCCCTCGTATAATGGCTAACTACTAGGATACGTTGTTATTTGATGGCGATATTATAGTAAATCCACGAATGCGACGCGACGCATTGATCGAGTAGGAACATAAAAATGCAGCCCATCAAGTGAATCCATGCCAAAAGTCCTATTAGCAACATCAATATCATTAATAAACATTATATGTCTATTCTACAATATCGTTATCAATATCGTATCCGCGTGTAATGTTGTTTTAAGGCAATCATATCATAATAAACATAATGGTTCTACTAAACCTTATACAAAGGAACGGATGCGTATATCAAAGAAACATTGCAACAAGTCGCTTCCACTTCCCTTTGATGTGCCCGGGGCCTTCTTTACCTGATTTCCCCCGATAGCATGTAATTACAGCCTTAATTTGTTATAAATATTTCCGTTTATGACATCGTAAACCAAATTACGGAAACGCCTACGTCGTTTTCATTCTGCATGACCGATTATAACAAAAGAGGGTCAGTGTAACCCTTATGTCCCAGGGGGTGCAATTAACGCTGGTTCGTGTGTTAGCCTCACTTATATGTTACAATTTTAAATAAAGAGAAATGTTTCGAAACACCATCGCGTGTAGCAAGCAGCAATCAATTGTGCGTAATCGATTACTATTACATCGATTTCAGTTTTCAAAAGATTTTAGTTTCACAGTATCATACTGGACGAAGAGTTAACAAAAAAAAAATATCTTAAAACCATCAAATTGAATAAATGACTTATACATTCGTGACATCTGAGAATAATGAGTAAGAAATTGTAGGGTTGCTCTTTGTAAATAAACATTTTGTACAAATGTATAATTTCAAATATCATTAGATAGAAGCAATCTGAAAAACCTAGTTACTACCATGGATTTTTGTCATCCAAGTATACAAAAGCTGTATAAATTAATAACTTTGTTTGAAATTTCGTAAGTTACAAATTTTAAATATCAACCGGAATGTTATTTATTTATTTATTTTTATATATATTTATAGAATATACTAAAGACGACTGTGAAGAACTTCTAGTTTATTTTTATTTCTCGTATCAATGTTATGTCTATCACTACTTCCGTTTTCATAAATGTACTGTGTCGCTAAATGTAATAATGTAAATTTCTTTAAATTTATCTCCTGGACGCCCTGATTGTGAATTGCCGTAACAGCAGGTTTTTGCAGGATAAAGATTCTAGTAATGTCGGCGTTATTACCATAGTATGAGACAAGTATCAATGCCTACACTTCGCTTGGAGTATAGGGTTGTCACATTATTATTTTAGTTGTGTCAGGTTGTAAACATATTAAAAAAAATGAATTGTTTATCACGGTGTTCTCGTGCGGGAAGGGCATTATAACCTGTGCAAGCACAGATAACTTATGTGGTGTATAGATAAAATGTACAAAAGACAATAGACAATATACGTTGCGTTGCGGCCCGTCGTTCCCACATTACGACACTAGCGGACGTATCGTACGTGAAGTAAACAAACGTTGTTTTAATGAACTATCCCTGTATTAAGTAACGTAGACGACACTTCTTATAAATTCAGGTCCTGATCCCAGATCAGCCCGTGGACAGGGTTGAAAAAAACAAAACCACACGTTTGATATTTAATTTTATTTTCTAAATATCGAACAAACGCTTCTATTCGATAAAGAATGGCGCGTGTGACGATCCGCGTTATGCAACGTGAGTGTTTTGCGACATACAAGGTTTTGCGAATGTGTGCATACAAGCCGCGCTAACACGTTTGTATGAAGTTACCCTATAAGTCGTATTATTATACTATGGTGATACTCTAAGCGTTGCGTTCAGCAAGGCGTCTAAGTTTTCGTGTACATTCGCTCAAACTTGTGTCCCCGCCCCACTGAACGCACCACAGTTGCGAATTTGTGGCTTAAGGCAAAAACGTAATGTAAAAGTAAAAAATGTAATGCGGGAGAAATGTCCACGCGTCATGAATAAAATGTACAAGTATTATTAATTGTAATGGTGTATAATATAATAAATAATTTGCAGGTCACTAATGACTCACGCGTCGGTGTCGGCGGAACAGCGCGCCGAGCTCGGCATCACCGATTCCCTCGTGAGGCTAAGTGTCGGCTTGGAGGACACCGATGACCTACTTGAAGACTTGAAACAGGCTTTCAAAGCTGTTTTCTAAATGTTCTGTCGATTTTTAAGAATAAACGATATTATTGATTTTATTCTATTTCTTACACATTATAAATTAAATTTGAATGTTGTTCATGTCTAATCGTTTGGAAAAATATTTTTATTACAAAACTGGAGGCCAAACAAAATGTGACCTGCGCAATGGGTCTCTTGGCAGCAGTTGAAGGTTGAAGGGGTACAATGTAAATGTTACTTGCTATTCGTTATGTGGCTCAAAAAAGTCCTCGCATTACTTTACCTTTCCAATGTGAAAATAGGTGTACCGGAAAGAATCGAGTAACAAAGATACGAGCGTATAATATACATTACATATTACATAGAAAAAACTCATTAATGTAATTTTAAATACAGAAGAACACCTGTTTATTAACGAGAGGTATTATTACTAAACATCCATAAATGTAGTTAACATAGAAATGGAAGTTGGCAATCTCGTTGGTGCATTGGTTTGCACTCTGGGAGCTGATGATGATGATGATGAGCCCCGGGTTCGATTCCTGGTAGGATCAATTCGGGAAATGAAATTTTCTAAATTGGTTCTGGTGTGGGTGTTCTGGGTGACAAACAGATGACTCCACTCGAGCTGATGTTAAATGGAAAGTGGAATTCAAACACGAAGGAGCAGTGTCGATAAAATCACCGCCTTAGCCATCTCATGCCTACAAGCTTCTTCACAACTCGTTTCAAGGACCCCATATCACAAGAGGAAGGGAATATATATGGGAGGGAGGAAGGGAGGTTCGATTGTTGACTGTGCGACAGAGAGAGTTGTAAAACGGTGACTACGCAGGCCAGCACGCGTGTTTCTGAAGAGGAAATTGGAGGGTGAGATAAAGTACTCGCCCTTAAAAGCACTCGCCATGGTACATTATTGAATGTTATCTACGGTTGAACATACAATTCAGAAAAATGAACGGCCCAAAACTAGTCTACAAGAAAGTTTAGTAGCAGTAGAGCTCCTTGTGAAAGAGTTCGTCCAGGGAAGTAGTGCCACCTTACCTAGTTCTGCCGCCAAGCAGTAACCTTAGCATTACTGCGTTCCAGGTTTGAAGGGTAAGGGTGCTGGTGAAATTACAGGCACATGGGATTTATCAACTTATGTCTCTGGGTAACGAGCGCAGTGGCAGTGCCTCTCTGATCTTTGCGATTTAAAGCTCTGAGTGACACTGCACCTGTTATGGACAGGCGTGTAGCTTACCGTCAAGCGCACGACTTGTTCGTCCCATCACTTGATATTAAAAAATAAAAAAGTGTAGATTATAGAGACAATTTAGTATTAATGTATGTAAATGTTAAACTGCAATTATATACCTAGTAAATTATTATTAAAAACAGTCTTTCGGCAGCAATCGAGTTTAATTTATACCTGCCAACTTCAGTAGATTGATCTTGTGAATCTGCTTGACCGGCAGTCAGAAATTCCATCCACTGTCCACGGTACACCCTTATTCCTTCTCCCCGTCCGTCTGTTGCCTTAGGTCGTATTTATGGTGATAGGCAAACACCTAAGGCCCGACGCCCACTGACGGAATGGTTCGGCAAGGGATCCCTCGGCACCCCTATATGTAAACGCAGACTGATGTCAATTATGCCGCAGTATCCCCAGGGCTGCCGAAGCATCCCCAGGGCTGCCGAAGCATCGCAGAGGCTGCCGAAGCATCCCCAAGGCTGCCGTAGCATTCCAGAGGTTGCTGTCTCGGCAACCCGAAGCATATCGCAGTTTTATTTTACAGCCACGATCATTATCATTGAAATTGCAACTATAATGGTATAATCTTAAGGTAAATTGGTACATTACTATTCAACACCTAAAAATCCCGTCCCGTCAGTGAGCGCCGAGTCTATGGGCGCTGGGTGCTTCTTGATATGGCTTATTAAGTTATTTCCGTACAGTTTGTTACTGTCAAAAAACGTAAGCTACAGAAACTTTGTTCATATAATGCGTAAGACAAATACGACCGACTAATTATAAAAGGAATAATCCAGGGAAAACGACCATCTGGAAGAAGGCGTACTTCGTGGCTCAAGAATTTCCGGACATGGTCTAAAATGCAGATAGCCCTAATGACAGTCGACCTCCGGTAGGAAATGGCACCTCAAGTAGACGAAGAAGTACAGTTTGTCGGTGCTACCGCAGGCATACACCTAAACTACGGTAGTTGGCAAACTCTACAGGCGCAGAGTACTGATAGTACAAGGAATTCCCTACTTAGAGACCCGGTAATTTGAGTGGTTGCCTGCCACATGATTATTATTGTTATTGTATCGACCCTGTCCTTTATGATACCAAGTGCCGGGATAAACAAGTCGTGTGCTTGGTGGTAAGCGACCCGCCTGTCCATAACAGTTGCAGCACCTGTACCAATCAGAGCTTTAAATCGCAAAAATCTTAGGGGCCCATGCCACTGCACCCGTCACCTTGAGACATAAGTTGGCAAGTCTCATGTGTCTGGAATTTCACCAGCACCCTTGCCCTTCGAAACCGGTACGTAGCAATGCTCTCATTATTGTTTGGCGGCAGAAATAGGTAAGGTGGTAGTATTTCCCTGGACAAACCCTTTTAGGAAAACTTGTGTCGCGACACACGGACGCGTCAAATGCTGTCGCAATTGTCGCTGATCATCGTTTGTGAAAATCTTTTTTACATATGAATATAACTCATTGCTAGAACGGATCACAGCATTATGTGAAGCGTTCTTGGAAATATGAATTTAGGAAATAGACGATATTATTTCTGCCGCAGACGTGAAATATTTCCACTATAAAATATTTCTTATAATTTACTATCGCATAGACACAAAAGGTGGCCTGATAGATGAATGTGATATTTCACGTCCTCCGTTGACCTGTGTGCGCCAATCTATCTGTCCCTGACATAGGTTCATGAAAAATATGACGTTAATAATAAAATTACTTATTCGCTTTTAACATTGTGGAATTTTGCGACCACATCATAAAAATGACCATAGATTGAATAAAAAAGTATAAACAAGTGAATTACACTGCAGCAACTCTTACCCCGCTTTGATATGCTAAAATTTTGAATTTATCCATTAGCGTCAAACTTTTTCAAATTCGTTCAATTTGATATTAGGGTAGGGTTCACGCTGGTCCAATGCGGGTGGAGACTTTACGAGTTTTCCAAGTGTTGTGAGCCTTCTCCACCAGTTAATAATCAATCTTGTTACTAAATATTTACAAATGTCCGTAATTTTGTAATTAAAGTAGGCACATGCAATTCGAACCACTAGGGCTTCGAACCGTCAATCTCTATATTAATATGCAACGGTTCTCTCACAGGGCTACCACCACATTTATTCAAAATTATATGTATTATTGACTTTCTTTTAGATTTAAACATGTGTCTGTCCACATTTTGTTGCCATGCCATGCCATGAAATTTTAATAAATTTGCTGCTTATTTTTTGAATGAAGCAAGAAAACTATGAAACAGCTACACAAGGAGCAATAGGGCTCCTTGTGAAAAAGACCGTTCACAAAAGTACTGCCTAACCTTTTAGTTACCTTACTTATTTCTGCCGTGAAGCAGTAATATGAGCATTACTGCGTTCCGATTTTGAATGATAAGGTTGATGGTGAAATTACAGGCCCATGGGACTTTTCAACTTATGTCTCAGGGTGACCGGCGCAGTGGCAATGACCCCAAGAACTTTGCGATTTAAAGCTCTGAGTGGCACTGCAACTGTTATGGATAGGCGTTGCACGACTTGTTCGTCTCGTCATTTAAAAAAGAGCCTACTGTAGTATACAAATTTTCATGGTTTTATTGGTTCTCCATACAAACTTTCATCCCCTATTTCATCCCCTTTAAAATTTATTTTTATGACAAAGAATAACCTACATCCTTCTCTTAGGTTTTCTTAAATTCATCAATATCGGTTCAGTAGTTTAGACGTGAAAACGTAACCGACAAAGTAACTTTCGCAGTTATAATATTTTTGGACGTTTCATTTCCTCAAAAAGACATAAAAAACGCTTCGCCAACTTTGTTTACAGATCTTCGTGAAGGATTGCCAGTCTGGTAATGAACGTTGAACACTGTGCACTGAGTAGGGCGAGCAACAGGTAAATATTGAACGCATGGATACCTTTTTACCCGTGTGGATTTATGACCTCTCGTAATCGTACCTTACGAGCATTAATGCTCTGAAGCGTGGTTCTGCAGTTCCACTGAGAATACTGTTATGACCATTGAAATACGAATAAATACTGAGTGGGTGTGCGGAAGCAACTTTTACGTCTCTAGGGTAATTTGGTTTTCAATATTGTGTGATGTTTTTTAAAGAAAGATTAAGGAAAATTAAAAGTTCATATTGTATCTTCAATAGTAAACTTACAGAATTTAATAAGTAATTTTTGGGAAACAGACAAAAAGATTTAAAAAAAATTACGTCACATCAGTTATACTATATTCAAAATAACTATTGATCAACATAATACATATAAAACTTAAAATAAGCTTGTAGTGCCGAAGAAGAGCTGAAAGTCGTAATAATTTGCTGATTTTCAGGTTTCACCGGGTGAGTACCCGTCTCTGGAAATAGTGTACTATGTAGAGCTTTTCAATAATACAATTAAGAAGGTAGCCATACAAGACGCTGCCAACGTCTTGGGCACCGCCGCGGGAACCCAACTTTATTCACATAATTTAATCCTAATTTTACTTTCTAATATTTAAGTTTTCATTGTACCTTACTATATTTCAACTTATTGTCTAATAAAACCAAGTTAAGAAGATAATTCAAGTAACCAAATAATTCCAATTATGCGTTTATTTTTCTATAAATTTATATTTCTTATCGCGTTTATTTTTTTATTTATTTTGTCAGTTTCTTAACGATTTAACATTTAAAACTTCGTTACTTTATTGCTGGAGGCGTGATAAAACGACCTTCAAAAAGTGTTACCTTAAAATTACAAACAGTAAATTAATTCCTATATAATGTGGATTTATTGTATAGAATTCAAACATTCGTATCTCAAAAACGCCATGTAAATGATACCAAGCGTCGACAATCAC